TTAAAGGTCATTTTACTTGGTATCATAGGTAGAAAGTATGTCTAAATACTAGCAGCTAATAAGTAATCATCACCTTTTGGGCATTTTTGTTGTTAAATTCTATAACTTCAGCCAAAGATCGTACTGGAGTCTTCACCAGCTGTTCTAAGTAAGAATTCAGAGCTAATTTGAACTCAAATTCCATCACCATTCGCTCATTGTTCGATGACATGATTGCATCAATGTTGGGTATCTCCAAATTATCAACTAGTATTGCCCCCTTTTTCCTTTAGTTATCTCAATCACAAATAAGCATGATCAATGAGTACTAGTAAATGTTGTGCAATAACGTAACACTAGTCAATCAAGTAAAAAATTGGCTATGCCTTTTTGCTTACCTTAAAGTATGGAAGTGCTGCTTAAAAGTTGTGGCCTGTTTAGAAGACCATTCAATATGATCAAAGAAAGGATTTCTTGCAATTCCTAACCTTTTCCCTTCTAGACCGTCGAGCTTTAGGAACTGAACATACCCATCTGGCGGTATGTATCTACTTGCATTCATTGTCGCTTCCGAATCATAAGGATCATAGCCTACAATGGAATCCAGAACATATGTTGCATCTGCTACAGTCCTACAGATTGGACTTTTCATAGTTCAATTACACAAGGGTAATATAAAATGTCAGTATAAATTAAATCCTTCATATTAATCCAAACATGGGATACTAGAAAGGAATAAGAAAATCTGGAATGATTTTACCCAACAGTGTCTTGTGTAGGTGTGATTGGTATAACCCCACCACGGCTAGTGAGACCGAGAGTTGGCTTGATGCCCACGACTGAATTGGTCCTAGAAGGATTAAGGATGGATCCGTTTGTCTCGGTTCCTAGAGTAACGGCCACCAAGTTTGCAGCTACTGCTATAGCCATCCACTACTTGAGCCACTAGGATTTGCTGATAGATTGTAAGGGTTCTGCAAATTAAGATAGGGTTTGTCCTGTTTCTTAGTAATATTGCAAAATTTGTGCTATACAAATACAACTTATAAATACATTGTTTCTTATCAAATGGGATTCTTCTATCAGTGGTTTGTAGTTTTAGCTCTACCTATATATACTTGTTTAATATCACAAGTCTTTGTTACATAAAACATACTTGTTTAATATCACAAGTCTTTGTTATACCACACAAATCACAAATAAACCCATTTTCTATTCCAAAGATAGTCAATGATTTTATGTTTTATAATATACAAGTGGATTGTATTCCGGGACAAGAAATTACCTGGCCTTGGCCGCCTCTAGCACACCACCCACTCGGCGCACCAAAAGACCTAAAATGAGCCCACTCACTTAGGCTAGCCTTTCCAAGTATGATAGCACCAGCCTGCCTTAGCTTCTCCACAACCCCAGCATCCCTAGGAACAACTGAACTTAACAATGCAAATGATCCTGCAGTTGTATTCATCCTATCTTTTGTAGCAATATTGTCCTTTATTAATATTGGTATCCCATCTAGCCTTAGAGATTCAACTGATCCTGACTCCTTTGCTTTCGCCCTCCGTTTATCGGCCTCCTCTGCCTGCTCCAGAGCATCTGGGTTGACCTCTAGGACTGCTCTGAGAACTGGGTTGAGTTTTTCAATCTGATATAGGTAGAACTGTACTAGTTCTTTTGAGGTAAGCTTGTTTTGGTGGAAAGCTGTTTGGAGATCTTCTATGGTAGCTTCTTTAATTGGGAATTTTGATTCGAAATCATTATTGTCTATTGATAATATGGAACTTGATGAGCCTATGTTTGTCACGGATAATATTAGCTTAAGATGAAGATCTGAAGTCTTTAGAGTAGATGTTGAATTGAGAAGAGAGATTAATGAGATAACAAACTTTGATGTGAAGTTTTATTTAGCAGGTTAGTTGAGCACAAATAGAAGAATGTGACTTTAGAGTTTATAATTTGTATATTTGGACTTTGATCTGGTTACTCAGGTAAGATAATTCTTTTCTTTAATGCTTTTTTTATTTTTTTTTATATATAATGGAATTTAAAGTTGAGTTATTGAAAGTTATTCCCTCAATCCCTCCTATGCACATAGCCACTTATAATAAAATAAATATAAAAATCTATTTCACATGGTATTATAATAATAATAATAAAATAAAAAGTGTTAATTTTTTATTATGAGAAGTTGGGACAATGTGACAACTGAAAACCACACTTTTAAGGGTGGTAAAACCATGGGTTTCTTAAAAAAACAATTCACATAAAAATAAGTCCATTAATTTATTAGCCATTGTACCACTTAAACAGAAACTTAGTTAACATCAATTTTTATTACTTCATAACATACATTGCCACTGGTTCATGAGTGTTTAAAACAAAAAACACACGGTTAGAGATAAAGTTATATCATCACAGACATTAACATGAAACTTCTTTATAAAATCACATATAAACATACTACCATTACCACAACTATTTTATTGTGTACAAGTAACCAAGTTGTGACTCAAGAAGGTTAGGAGAAAAAACATATATTTAAAGTTTAGGAGGCTTTCTTATCTTTGTAGCTTGCTCAAAACCATAGGCTATCTCAATAAGCTTTGGTTCTGAACCCCTTAAGCCTCCAAAGCATATAGCAAATGGCACACCATCTTTATCATATCCAGCAGGAACACTTATTCCTGGGTATCCTCCAATAGCAAGAACAGTTGAAAACACTGCATCAGGTGTAACAATTGTATCCAACTTGTGTTCTACCATAACCTTCTCAAACCCGTCTTTTGACCATTTTGCTAACGTTTCCAGGGCTTTCTTCACTTTGGGTGTAATTCCGTTTGTTGCTTCAGAATCAAGGAATGTATCTTGACCATATTCTGTGATCTTTTCCTACACATTTACCAAATTTATATGTTGGTCATTCTTTGATCAGTTCAGATAAACAATTTTCAGGTAAGGCGTGGCTAAAGTATTGGTAGAGTAGTAGGCTACTAGCTAATCCTCACCTTTTGGGCGTGTTTGTTGTTGAATTCTATTACATCAGCCAAAGATCGAACTGGAGACTTGATCAGATGCTTTAAGTAGGAATTCAGAGCTAATTTGAACTCAGATGACATCACCATAGCCATATTGTTTGATGTCATAATTTCTTCAATGTTGGGTATTTCCAGATTATTGACTAATATTGCTCCTTGTTTTCTTTAGTCATCTCGACAATGAATAATAAAAAAGCATGACAAGTGTGTATTAATTGATGTTATGCTACTTTACATTAGTCTGTCAAACAAATAGCAGGTTCAGTTTCTTGCTTACCTTAGAGTATGAAAATGCTGCTTATAGGTTGTGTTTAGTATAGGAAACTCTTTGATAAGATCAAAAAAGGGATTCCTCACAATTCCTAACCTCTTCCCTTTTAGACCATCAAGCTTTAGAAACTGAGCATAGCCACCATGGGGTATGTATTTTCTTGCATTCTTTGTCGCTTCAGAATCATAAGGATCATACCCTACAATGGATTCCAGAACATAAGCTGCATCTGCTACAGTCCTACACATGGGCCTGTTCACAGTTCAATTTCACAAGCTTAACATAAAAAGTCTACTTGAAAACTTAAATTTTGTTCTAAAAATTGAGAATCTTAGAAAAAAAAAATGATTCATGTGGCTATTACCCTACAGTGTCTTGTGTAGGAGTGATTGGTATAACTCCTCCACGGCTAGTGAGACCGAGGGTGGGTTTGATTCCCACGGCTGAATTTTTGCTGGAAGGACAAAGGATGGAACCATCTGTTTCGGTCCCAAGGCTAACTGCTGCCAAGTTTGCTGCTACTGCTATGGCTGATCCACTACTGGAGCCACACGGATCTTCTGAGAGATTGTAAGGGTTCTGCAGAAAAAAAATCTGCTCTTTCATTCTTTAATAGTACAACACATATAGTCATAGTCATTCATCACATATGTCATATGCATTTGTTTTATCTTTGTATTTATGTAGTCTTCTGAAGATCTTGATATATTCTACATGTGCATAAAATTCACAAAGAAACTGAGATATAGAAGCTGCATATCACTAGTTAAAAAGAAAGGTACTTGCCTGGCCTTGGCCGCCTCTAGCACACCAGCCACTCGGCGCACTACTAGACCTATAATTAGCCCACTCACTCAAGCTAGCCTTCCCAAGAATAATAGCACCAGCCTGCCTTAGCCTTTTGACAACTCCAGCATCTCTAGGAACAACCGAGCCCAACAATGCATATGATCCTGCTGTTGTATTTAGCTTATCTTTTGTAGCAATATTGTCTTTTAGCAATATTGGTATCCCATCTAGCCCCGACTGACATTTCTTTGCCTTTGTCCTCCGCCTGTCAGCCTCCTCCGCTTGCTTCAGAGCATCCGGGTTCACCTCTATGACCGCTCTGAGGATTGGATTGAGCTTTTGGATTCGGCGAAGGTAGAACTCTACTAATCCTTTTGAGGTAATTTTGTTTTGGAGGAAAGCGGTTTGGAGATCTTTTATGGTAGCCTCTTTGATTGGAAAGTTTGTATTTAGAGAGGCAGCTGATTTTATGCTGAGAATAATTAGCAGGAAATGAATTAGTGAATATGAAGTTGACATCGCTGATTTAACTAAGATTGCTAGCTTAGTACTAGTATAAATCTGCTCTAAGATGAGTATGATGAGAAGTAGATATATTAGTGATTGAGTTGAGTTACTATAGGCAGGGAATTTTAGTACTTGGATCTGAAAGTGACTGAAGTTTTCTGCTTTAGACAAAGTTGTGGACATTATTTAGTGGGGTTTATTGTATTGGGGTCTACCTTTTTACTTTATTTTCATGTAACATGTAGTTTGAGGTTTTGAGCTTATTTTTCATCAAGGAAATAATCTAGAAAAGGCAGGGGAGGAGCAGAGAGTAGAATTTGAAATTCGGATAAACGAGTCTTGTTCATTGTTTGGATGATTTTGTTTATTTTTCGATTGGATACGTTATCAATCAAGAAGCATCAGAGAAATAGAGACTCGAGTGGAATGCATTGTTGTATCCTTACTGTTTCCTTGAGACTTTTCAGAGTAGCCGCTTTGCTGAAGTTGCACATCTTAGTACTTGTTTGGTTGACATAAAAATAACATCAAAAATCGAAGTTCCTTGAGAATATGTAGTTGAATCTAGCTTTGGAAACCAAATTGTAAAAACACATTAGTAAAGACAACTTTAGGACCCATCAAAGTGTAGGAGGCTTTCTAATTTGTGTAGCTTGTTCAAAACCATAGGCTATCTCAATAAGCTTAGGTTCTGTACCCTTTAAGCCTCCAAAGCATATACCAAATGGCACACCGTCTTTATCATATCCTGCAGGAACGCTAATTCCTGGGTATCCTCCAATGGCAAGAACAGTTGAAAACGACGAACCAGGTGTTATAATTGCATCTAAATTGTGTTCTGCCATGATCTTCTCAAACCCGTTTCTCGACCATTTTGCTAATGTTGCCAAGGCTTTCTCCTCTTTGGATCCAAACCCATTTGTTGCTTCAGCAAAAAGAAATACTTCTTGACCATATTCTTTGATCATTTCCTACAAAGAAAATCATCTAATGATGGTCATTTTACTTTGTATCGTAAGTCAGGTGTAACAGTACCAGACAAAGATTAGTATTAATATGTGCAATAGTACAAGTATTGGTAGCTAATTGTCACCTTTTCAGCATTGTGGTTGTTGAATGCTATTATATCGGCCAAAGATCGAACTGGAGACTTAGTTAGTTGTTTTAAGTAGGAATTTAACGACGATTTGAACTCAGCTAGCATCACAATAAGCTCATTATTATGTGACAGGTCTTGTGACAGAATAGCTTCAATGTTGGGTATTTCCAAATCATCAACTAATACTGCTCCTTGTTTACTGTAATCATTTCGACCACAAATAAGAAGTACATTATACGTGTTTATTAATAGATTTTACAATATGTTAATTAGATAAATATGTAGTAGATTGTGTTTCTTGCTTACCTTAGAGTATGAAAATGCTGTTTATATGCTGTGTTTTGTACAGGAAACTCTTTGATAAGTTCAAAAAAGGGATTTCTTACAATTCCTAACCTCTTCCCCTTTAGACCATCAAGCTTTAGAAACTGAGCATAGCTGCCTTGTGGTATGTATTTTCTAGCAGTCATTGTCGCTTCGTAGTCATAAGGATCATAGCCTACAATGGATTCCAAAACATAAGCTGCATCTGCCACAGTCCTGCAGATAGGCCTGTTCATAAATCATGTTAAATTTTGACAATTTTATTCCAAAATTCAGATATTGTGAGAGTCTGAGAGATGTTAAGGAGAAGATATGGTTTTAAAAAGATTATATACCCAACTGTATCTTGTGTAGGACTAATTGGTATAACGCCACCACGACTAGTGAGACCGAGAGTGGGTTTGATGCCTACGACTGAATTGGTGCTGGAAGGACATAGGATGGAGCCATCTGTCTCGGTCCCAAGAGTAGCGGCTGCCAAGTTTGCTGCTACTGCTATAGCTGGTCCACTACTTGAGCCACAAGGATCTGCTGAGAGATTGTAAGGGTTCTGCAGATAAAAATATTTGCTCATTCTACAAATTTGGAGCTAAAACACCATGTGTTTATGACTTCAAGTATGGGCAAATTATAAGCAGTTGGAGCTACCCCTTAGAACTCCTGACTTCCTGAGGTTAGAAGTTCGAGTTTCGCTCCAATCAAGTGGGATGGTCTTGTGACTCATGTCTGAGTCACAAGTTTGTATGGTTTAACATTACCTTAAACAAGTTACACAAGATAATTTATACACCTGTGTGTTTTTACTATTAAATGGAATTAGCAAAATGACTACTCCGTATTACAAACTACAAACTTATACTTCTGCAAACTTATTACCAATGATTTACTCCTGCATGATCAGGCGTTCAATATTCTTATCCCTTGAAGCAGGATTTTACAAAATGCCTCTTTATTACATAGTTGGCTTATTTGATATTGTCTTCATTATTAACTAATTTAAGTAATGTCTAATGACCATATTATAAATTTTCCTGTATATACGTATGTTCTTTCAAAATAAAATCTATACATATGTTGTTTCCTTTAAATTTCAACAGTTGAAAGTATATAATAGTAAACCACATGGAACTAAAAAACAGATAGGGGGGTGGGGGGTGTTACCTGGCCTTGGCCGATTCTGGCACACCACCCATTAGGCGCGGTAAAGGACCTAAAATGGCACCATTCACTCAAGCTAGCCTTCCCAAGAATGATAGCGCCAGCCTTCCTTAGCCTCTTGACAACTCCGGCATCCCTAGGAACAACTGAACCCAACAATGCATATGATCCTGCAGTTGTATTCAGCTTATCTTTTGTACCAATATTGTCCTTGAGCAATATCGGTATCCCATCAAGCCCTGGACCTTCGACTGAGTGACACTTCCTTGCTATCGCCCTCCTTCTATCAGCCTCCTCGGCCTGCTTAAGAGCATCCGGGTTTACCTCGATGACAGCTCTAAGAATCGGGTTGAGTTTTTGAATTTGTTGCAAGTAGAACTGTACTAGTTTTTTTGAGGTAAGTTTGTTGTGATGGAAGGCAGTTTGGAGATCATTTATAGTAGCTTCTTTGATTGGAAAATGTGTGTTTAGAGAGTTGGCTGGTGTTATGATGGTGAGAAGAATTAGTAGGAAGTGAATTAATAGGATTAAAGCTGGCATAATTAAGATTAATTTGTAGTATTAATCTGCTTAATGATGATTATGAATGTATGATGAGAAGCAAAGCTAAAAGCAAGGATCAAAGTCAAATAGTTTGGTTAGTTGAAATTCGTTGACTTTCAGAGCTTGTATTTCAAGCTCCCATATTAGATCTAATTATTTTGGCATAATATATAATAAAGCCTTGTCTCCTCATTATTTTAAATTCCTATTGTTATTTAATTTAAGTTGGATTAGATCATAAGAAATCAAGTTTATAGATCATCGAATTGAATATACAATATATCAATATCAGTCCATATTATTTGACCCTATAAAATTTTGTTGATGACAAATGAAAGTTATTAACTTATTTAATTATGAGTAGTTTCAAAAGCTGGATGTGTTCAAGGATCATTCATGAAAGGTTGTGTGATTGTGTCCAACCCATCAAGTATTAATCATGCTTTATTTAGAAGATGAAGATCATCATGCATCAAAAATGTCTTTGGCAATAAGTGAAGTTCCAAAGTAACTAAAACTCCAAACGAGAAGAAATATACTTGTATGAATGTATTCTTATTAGACTTTTATATGTAAAGTTGTAGGATTAAATGGTTTGTTTGCAGATATAAATCTGATATCAATACTCCATCCATCCCAATATATATATATATATATATATATATATATATATAGTTCTTGTTTGTGTTTTTTCACAGTATTTAAAAATAGAAGGAGAAAGTGGATGAATTACATTAATAAAAAAGAAATATATAATTAAAGTCAAAAGTTAGAGAGAGAAAGTGGAAAAAGTACAAGGTATATGCAAAATTCAGGGCTAATGTAAGAAGTATAATGAATAAATTAAAAAAAAACGAGTGTATAGGACTTTACATAATATCCAAAAATAGAAACAGGAACAACATTTTGGGTCTCCAAAATAGAAAATAGGAACTATATTATGGGATAAAGGGAGTACGGGTTTTATGTACAAAGGGTTGCATGTAGACTTGGCAAACCGATCGTTTGCGTTGGGTCATTTCCAGTCAATTTTATTTTGAGTCATCACCAAAAATTCGGGTCAATTCGGGTTGAAGTCAGTTCGAGTTGGGTTAACTTTCAGGTCGAAATGTTGGGTCAATTTTAGGTAGGTTTATTTTAGGTTAGGTAAGTTTGCGTAGGGTCATTTCGGGCATCGGGTCACTTTCGGGTAGAGTACAGGTTGGATCGGGTTAGGATTGCCATGTCTAGTTGCATGTATGTCTCTGACTCTCGGTGAACAACCCAAAGAAGCTTTGCTAGCTCTAACGTTACAGAATTACAAATAAAATAACAGTCGGTTTTAAAATTCAACTATTTATCTTCAAACATGATGTAGGAGTTACGCGACAAATATATTTATATAATCGGTAAGATATGAGGAGGGCCCTTCACTCTATCACAAGTATAAGGGGATTAAGATTCGAATCCCCACCACTTGGGGACTTGGGATTGAGGGGAAGGGGGATGGAGGGACTAACCATCCCTTCATCCGATATTTGCATATCCCATGTTGCATGCCTCCTCTAGTTTGCTTAAACACGTGAATATATTACTAATTTAGTTTGTATCAAATACTCAATTTAGTCGAACTTGGATAATAAATCGCCTTCTAAAGACTTTCTCTCTTTGGGAAACCCACAGTTTATCTTCTCACTGCTTCCACCGCCTCTCCTTCTCTTAAGGCTTGCTCGCCGCTCATCGGCGTTTCTCCTCTTGTCATCGTCGGCGAGTCTATTTTTCTTTGCTTTCCTCAATTTTGCTTCTTAATTTTGCTTTTTAGGTGTTTTACAGTAAAGTAGACAAGGAATTGAAGATTGGAGATCCGTTTTTCATTTTTCAAATCCACTAGTGGTTTAGTTAAGTTTCGGTGTGTCGTCTAGTGTTTTAGGTTTTACTAATCCATCGAAACAAGGAGCTACGACTATTCTTAACGCCGTCGTCGATAGGAGTTCTGTTAATTGTTTCCTGACGGTAAAGGTGAAGTTAAGACTAGCGTTTTCTCCCTTATCCAAGGCTAAAGGGAGTTGGTCGTTCTTGTGTTTGCCTCGACGACTGCTCTTTAAGTTAGGTATCAAATCTGCCTTTGAGGTTGTTTGGGTTCTTTGCTTCTTCTGTGAGTGTATGCCTATGTTCTTTACTATGTTTAGTGGTTTTATTTTAGTTGTTCTTGATTTGCCTTTATTTAATTATGTTTTTCTTGATCAGTTTGCTTGTGAGTTTTTGTTGTTTAATAATTTTGTTGTTGTTCATGAGTTAGAGCTATGTTAGGTAGCTCTATCTATGGAGGTTGTTGAAGTGTTGTCGTTGTTTTTGGAGTCTTTGTTGGGTGGTTTTGCCCACAGATTTAGGGGTAATTTGGTTAAAAGATCCCTTGCTTGTTGAGTTTGTGGTCCTTTTGATTGTCTTTTAGGAGATTATAAGATTTTGGGTGTGGGATGATATGGGTGATCTTTTAGTTACTATCACCCCTTTGTTAGTTTTGGCGATGACAAAGTCAGTCATATCTCAATCTTGAAAAAGGCTCCCCATCTTTAATGTTTGGGTAAGCAAAGTCCTCCATCTTGCACTCTTAGTTGGGTGAGTTGTGCATTTGGGTGCCAGGTTTCTTAATTATGCTAGGGTCGTTACAACTTAAGACTCTCTTGGTTTTGTTCCCGAACTCCTAGGAAGTAGCTTTGCATTTCGATTCTTGGGAGTGGAATTGTGTCAAAGGTCTGTTTGTCGGCAACATGGTGTTAGGGTGCTTACAATTTTCGGTTGCTCTGTCTCTCTTTATCTTCAATCACAAATTTGTTTCTATGTCAATGCAAGTTCCAGTTACCTTCATTGAGTTGAACATGTGCTTATAGTCCACCTCAGGTTCTTTAGTTAATTTGGCATCTCTTGGTCCACTTTATGGTTTTGGTGGGTTTTCTTTAGTTGTTCAGACTTGGAAATAACAGGTTTGGTGCAAGACACTTGTGGTTTTATCCTTCACTTCAGTCCTTCAATGATAAGTGGCAAGGCGTGTATCTGGGTTTATTTCGGTGTGCTGCTGTTCTTTTGTTGTTTGTGTGTATATTTAGGTGTGCTTGGTTGTTTTTCTAATTAAGTTCTCTTAGGTTGTAATTTACTTTAATTTATATAGTTTTCATTGTTCAAAAAAAAAAAATGGACAATGAAATAAAAGAAGATGTTACACGTGGTAATGAATTTAAGGGGTGTTTGGTTCGCGAAATATAAGTATGAGGTTGATAAGTCAATATTATACCATTATTTTTTAGCTATTTGGGATGCGTTTACCATAGAATTTCAATATATAGTTTGTGATTCTATATATTTTATCCAAGTTGGACTCGATTATTTCTATTATTGTCATTTGGCTGTTATGTTGTGACTTCAGGATGAAATACAACAGTTGGAATGATGATGAATATGCTATGACATTTTGAGATGGATTGTGAACTTCTTAAGATGATTTGCAAGTCATAAGAAGTTGTATGTTAGAGTGCTAGATATTGACAATACTACATGGTCATGTACTTCTAACTATACGGTCAGGTGATATTTTCCATGTACGACTACTTGTTACATGGCCGTGTACCATGAGCTACACGGTCGTATGATGTCATCTCCATATGAATGCAGCCTACATGGTCATGTACCCCTTTAGCTACACGATCGTGTACATACATGATGGAATCTGGGATTGAGTAGAGACTAGCTACACGGTCGTGTAATACCTTAATGTTTATTTTTAGAAAAGTATAAATAGTAGTTTTAACCCTATCTTAAATCATCTAATTTTTATAGCTTTTCTATTTTACGTTGTTTTTGGAGAGAATATATAGAACTCCATTGAAGCATTCATCTTAATTCAATTTCGAGTATTTCTCTTTCATCTTTAATCTCTATAATTTTCTTTTGTTATTATGTTTTCTTTAATTATTTGTCTTGTTATTGCGAGTAATTTCATAATCTAGGGTTCGGTTGAACCCTAATATGGATTAATATGTTATTTGATTCTCAATTATTTAATTAATTTATAATTCCTCTTTGTTAGGGTTTGTTTTATTATAAGTGATAAACTAGAAATAGTATTATTGAATTTAATTGGATTTACAACGAAAGTTAATTCTTAATTGATTTAGAACCCTAATTAAAAGTAAGTGATAGCATGCTAATTTGTATGATTATAGAGTGGTTTTTAGCGTTGAATATGTGAGGAATTGATGCCTTAGTTCATTATTCACTCTATTTTTAATGCAATTTTTGTGTATCCAATGCTTCACGGGTTGTTAGTGTTTTTGTTGAGATTTCAGGTCCAAAGATGGCCAATTGAAGCCTATGGATGATGAACCAAGGTTAGAAGCAAGAAGATGATGGAAAGAAGCCAAGGAAAAGGAGCCAAGTCAAGAAGAAAAAGAGATGTGCAGTGGAGAGGCCTCTCCTTAGAGTGGCGCGGCCTCTCCCTAGGAGCGGCCTCTCCAGGTCAATGGAGAGGCCTCTTCACCCCGCTGCTGTAGCTACTGCCAAACTTGGCAGTTTCAAGGATTTTGTGAGGAGAGGCCTCTCCAACTTTATGTCGCGGCCTCTCCACCTGGAGCGGCCTCTCCACCTGGAGCGGCCTCTCCACCTATTTGGAGAGGCCTCTCCACCTCGTTGCTGAACTTCCTGCCTCACTTGGCAAATTTGAAAGAAGAGATGAGGAGAGGCCTCTCCAACATAGGAGAGCGGCCTCTCCACTTGAGGAGCGGCCTCTCCACCTTTTTGGAGAGGCCTCTCCACCTTGCTACGGAACATTCTGCCCCAATCTTCCCCAGTTTGGAGCGGCCTCTCCAAGACATGGAGCGGCCTCTCCAGTCCTTAGGAGCGACCTCTCCAGACCTTGGAGAGGCCTCTCCCGATAGGTTCTGTGAGCTTTCTATTGCGGAGTTTACTATGTAATTGGGGGTTATAAATAGCTTTTGGGGGCTCATTTGTATGGGTCTTCTTCCCTCTTAACTCCTTTAGACTTATTCTCTTAATTAGTTCATAGTTTTCCTCTCCCTTAGTTTAGTTTCTCAAAACTCAATCATTTTGTAAGAATTATTAGAACTTTGTTCTATCAATTTCAACAACAATTATTCTCAACTTTGGAGCATCAATTAGTAACCTCTTTCCCTCTCCTTTGTTATTTAATTTTCTGATTTTATCTTTGATTAATCTTAGTTCTTGCTTAATCTTTGTTAATTGTTCTTGCATGTTCAACCATCATTGTTTAATTTCTCTCCTAGTTTAATTGAATTCATGTTAACCTTAGATTTATTTGCTAGATTGTTTTTCACCATGATTTGTGAGTAGTTAATTAGCTAGGGGTTGGGTGAAGACCCAACCAAGCCATGAGTTGATTGATGTTTGTGCTTGCATGTTCATTTTGGTTTGATGATTGATTGTTAAGGGATTGGTTAATTGCATGTGTAATTGGTTGGCCACTTATTGCTCATGTATTCACTTCTATGCTAGCATTGAGAGATGGAGTCTAGTTGTGAGCCTATTCTTATATGATTATGCTAAATTCCTCTTGATTATGGTTCCTTGTTTGAATGATGTAGTAGTCTTAGTTGCAACAATTAGGTGAGAAATCCCAATTGTTTGTGCCTTAATGCTTTCTTGGACCGATTGAAAGACAAACCCGAGTTACTAGTCTACTTCCCACCGTTAAGACTTGGTTGGCCTATCTTGTTAGTTAAGTTTGGTTTAGGATTGCTTAGTGTTGTGGCTTCGAAAGAAGGCAATGTTGAGTGCCCTCTCTATCACCCAATTTGTGTTCATGCTTGCCTATTGATTTAATCCGTTGGTTTGGTTGAAGTCGATCCCTATTTTCCCCTAGTGTTTGTCTCCATAGTAGTTATCTAATCAAAACCCCCAATTTGTGACCAAACTAGATTGCAACCGTTTCATATTCTCGGTGTACTTACCCATTCCCTACGGATACGATCCTCTACTTACCCTAGACTTGTCTTAGGTTGGTTTAGGTAGAAATATTGTTTGGCTTGAGGGTGATTGTCCAATGACCGATTATATCCCTCTATCAGTAAGAGCTTTCATGCATGGAAATAACTAATTGTTCTTGCTAGGACTTATAGGATTCCGCTCTCAATGTCTTTAAATCCATAAAAATAGATATGATTGCATGTTAGGGAAGCTATTAGTTGATCGAAAGAAACTCTTAGTATTGTTGGAATATTTATTGATTTTATTGAGGGAAAGAGATTGTTCTATTACGTTGATTCATATTAGTGGGGATACTTAATATTAGATATATTTAGTTCTTGATTAATTTCATATTATTATTATTGTTGTTGTTGTTGTTGTTGTTATTATTAGTTAACTAGTTTTGTGCCCCGTGCGATGTCCGGGTTGTATATTGGATTTTAAAATAAATTTTTAATTTATATGTCAAATTTTAAAATATACCATTGATACAAAATTAGTTATAAATTGATGTGTTTTATTCCGATTTGTTTTCTAGTAGGTATGTAATGACTAATAACAATATTGGTGAAAATGTTCTTATAAATACATTTTAAAAAAATGTTCAAAGCCCTTTGGCCTAGGTTGACCTGAATCCAAAACTTTGGGCAAGAGTTGAACATTTCTTGGCCCATAGCCTTAAGTGATCCGATCCGATATGACTCATGACTCGACTCTGATTGAGAGGTTTATAGATAGTAATAAAATTATATTAGATTGTAAATTATATTATTTTAACCGATTAGTATATATTATAAATGAATGTTTTACGTTTTGAATTATTTCCTTCGCTCCAAAAAATATTATGATATAAAAAATAAATTTATATGATAATTTTTTTTGAATAAAATTATAATTCAATTTTTACCTCTGAAATATTGGTATTTGATCGAAAGTAAAACTCTAAACTAACAATTTTATCCTAAAATTCTTTCTAAATTTGATTGAAAATAGAATTCTAATTTAAACTAATTTTTTTTATCCTTTGAAGTCTATCTAAATCTATCCAACGTGGCGCAACACTTGACGAGAAGTTGGAATGCCAAGTGTCACTGTCTCGTGACCTAGCTAAAAGTTTAGCTTTATATATTAGTTATATGATATTTGTTTTAGAATAGATTTCTCAACTTTGATTTGGTTATTTTCTTATTATGAGTCTATTTAATTAGTTAATCTATAGTCTCTTGGGATTTGATCCTTACTTGCCTGTCTACATAGTAGTGATCTAGTTAGGTTTATCTTTGTTAGGTATGTGACACACCTATCAGATGTATGAGTTTAGAATGACTAAAACCCATACCATATGTTTGGTTGTCAAAAGTATGAATTTAAAACCTATACCTCAAACCCACAAGGTATGGGGTTTAGAAACCTTGTGTGTGTGTGGGGGGGGGGGGAGTAGGTTTAGTTCATTCCATTCACTTAGAATTCAAATAAAATGAGGGAATAGTGAGAGAATTCATTTTAGAATTGAACCAAACACGTGGTGGTATTAAGCATCAAGTTCCAACCCGATACCACCTGAACCTCATTCCTAATTCCAAACCCATACTACTCTGCGAACCAAACTCTCCCTTAGATTATAAATAAATAAAAACCTAATTATAATACTATTACTAATATGTAGCCTGTAATGGCCAAGTTGCTAGACTTCCTTTTTTTTTTTTTTTTTTGAGGGAAAGCAGAGCTAATGCATTAATTCATGGACTAAGTGTCCGAGAGTACATAAGGTGAAATCATTGCAGGACAATGATTAACCCAAACTTGTTCAACCCCAAACGACATTAGCTTAGCAAGGTGATGAGCGACAAAATTGCCATCCCTTTTCACATGAGAGCAAGATAAAGAAGTAAAAACACTACATAAAGACAGAATATCATTAAGGACACCATCGAAATCAGAGAGATACACCGAGGTCTTCTTAAGGCGATTAATGAGAAGCTGACTATCTGACTCTAGAATTACACGCTCAAACCCGTGCTTCCTTGCTAACTTGACAGCCAAGAGGAGCGCTTTCCCTTCCGCTATTTCTTGTGACCACCATGCTCTAACTCGGCGAGAAGCAGCAAACAACACATTGCCTTCATGATCGCGAGCCACCACGCCCATTCCAACCCATCCTTCATCACTCAAGGTTGCATCAGAGTTAAGCTTAACAAATCCAGATGGGGGTGCGCACCATTTATTACTGCTTGACTTTGGTTTGCTAGCTGTGATTGCATAAACCTTCTTATTATATAAACCAAAGTCCTCTACTTCCCTGTGAAATCTCGCAAGCAGTACCTCATTAGGAGTAGTAGTATCAGCAAAAAACTTCTCATTCCTTTCCCTCCAAATCACCCACGCCAAAATCGCAGCTCGCTGCTGGATCTTGCCCCCATCTCTCAACTAAGTCACACATCGACTCTCCTGCGCAAGGAACAGCAGCAGTGCAGCCACTGTCAGTCCATAAATCGTGAACACGCACGCACTCGAAGAGAGCATGTGCAGCAAATTCTTCCTCTTCTCCACACCAAGAGCATCATGCTTCTTCAATCAAATGGCGGTATTTCAGTAAACCCCTTGTTGGCAGCGTATTTGTGCAGCATCTCCAAACAAAATGCTTGACCTTCGGAGAAGCTTCCAATCCCCAAATTTCTACCCATGCTTTGTGAAACTGGTCGAAGTCGCACCCTTTACCCAGCATATATGACGTTTTAATCGAGTATAGGCCATCGTTGGAAAAAGCCCAGGTAATGGTGTCCCTTGAGGCTTTCTCACTCAATAGGATCGAAAGGATACACTTCTTGTCTCTCTCATTAAATACAGCGGAAATGATCTCTGCATTCCACTCCATTCTCGAAAAATATACCAGATCACATACATTAGTCACACCTGCCACCTCCCCACTTGTGACAAACCGTCCATCTCCATCCGCCACCCACGGGTCTTTCCATATATTCACCATTGTGCCATTGCCTATACGCCAAATCAACCCTTCCTTCACGAGAGCCTTAGAGCTCCAAATACTCCTCCAAGAGTAGCTCCCCGCAACTCCCAAATAAGAGTCAAGAAAAGAGCTATTAGGAAAATACTTTGCTTTCATCACACGACCGAAAAGGGAGCTTCCATTATGAATGAGTCTCCAAGCCTGTCTACCAAGTAGAGGCACATTAAAGACCTCTAAATCCTTGAAACCCATACCCCCAAGACATTTAGGTGTGCTCATAGCATCCCAAGACTTCCAATGAATTTTCCTTTCCGAACCGGTATGACCCCAAAAGAAATTGGCCATAGCCGATCGAATACTCTGAAAAAATGAAGTTGGGAATTTATATACGCCCATCAAGTAAGTGGGAATAGCCTGTATTACCGCTTTAAGGTGTACCTCTTTCCCAGCTCTCGAGAGTAACCTTTCCTTCCAACCTTGCAATTTCTTCCATATCCTGTCTAAAAGTGCTCTAAAGATTGCTTTCTTTGATCTCCTGGCTATCGTGGGAATTCCCAAATATTTGCAATGGTGATCAACCGTGCGCATACGAAGGAAATCCACCAACTCATCTTGTTGCTCCAAACTTACCCCTCTGCTGAACGACACTTTCGACTTTTCAAAATTAATGTTCTGACCAGATGCTACTTCATATTTGTTGAGTATATCAACTATCACTTCGCATTCCCGTCGAGTCGCCCTAGCAAAAAGTAAGCTATCATCTGCAAACAATAAATGAGAGATAGCAGGCCCACTCCTACTTGATTTTTCCCCATGTAGTTCACCCATCCGAACTTTATTATGTAACATATGAGAAAAAGCGTCGGCCACCAGAATAAAAAGATAAGGAGAGAGAGGGTCTCCCTGTCTCAACCCCCTAGATGGGGCTACCATACCACATTGTAGGGAATAGATTTCAAGCGTTAACCCCTAGCTTGAACCCCACTGTGATCATACACTAAAGTACGGTGGCGTCCAAAAGGGAAGAAGATAGAGCAAAAGAGCCGCCAACAAGTTTTAGGAACTTGTAAACCATTCACAGGGTGAAGGCTACACCCCTTAACGATCCATGAGATCGTCAACTCCATAAGGTCTTGAATCAAATAAGGGTTCGGGGATGAAGGTACAAATCCAACCTAAAAGAGATTGAATCTGCCCTAATAATAGGCCTCTACTTTATTCTGATCGTATTCATGTGCGCTTTTTGACTAACATGCAATCAATAGGATTAACCCTAAACCTGTTTATCTATGTTGATTGAATTTAATGCACAAACAAACTATTATTGGCGATCACTTGAATTATAATCATATTAAACCTAACAAGATTATTAATTATCTTATTAATCGTGATTACAAATACCAACTCCCTTTAAACATGCATAAAAGGTGTGATCAAGCAATAAATAATAAATCAAGCAACATAATAATAAATATAATCATGATCATAAAATTATAACAATGAAATAATCATCATAATAACAATCATATTAACCATAATAACAATCATATTAACCATAATAATAATCATGTTAAGCATAATCACAATAATTATAAAATTAAAATTATAATCATAATCAAAACAATAATCATAAATCATGTTAAAGCATAATAATAGCAAGATCCTAGGCATGGTACTAACAAAATTAATAACAAACCCTATCATGTCACTAAGCAATAAAAATCAAATCTTTAACCCTAACATGATACTAACAATCATAAATATTAGGAAGAACATAGGAAGCATCATATCAATCATATTTAATATTAAAGTTATCCTAGACATGATACTAGGAATATCATAATAACAATATAAACATGATTTCTACATCATAACATCTATTAAAACCATTAAAGCACTTACTTTGATGCCTCGTACCTCTTTTTAATAATAAAATACACACGTTAGTAACTTCAAGGAAAATAATAATCAAAACAATTAAATTAAATAATTGAAATAGAGATTTGGAACCAAACCCTCAGAAATTAAACCTTTTACGTCTAGGGCAAAGGCAACTTCAAATATGGCTAGTTGTTCCTAGATCTTGTGAATGCGGAATTTTGTATGTAAAAAACAAAGTTTAGAATTAAAAGAAAGAAAGAATTAAGGAAAGAGAGAAAGATGAAAGAATTAGAAAACTGATTGTAGGTGAATGATCGTGAGACTTGGTGAATGAGGAGAATTGGTGAATGTAAATGATTCAAAACGGAGTTTTTAATACGTTATTTATAGAGAAAATCAGCCAAAAAGATAAAATAAAAAAAACAGAGTCTGGCGCACAAAAAACAAAGTTGGCGCAAACCCTGGCTAGCTGGCACCAGACACCAACACTAGCGTCAGGCGCCAGGCCTGGTTTCAGACGCCAAAGCCTGGGGTCAGGCGCCAAGCCTAATTTCAACGCGTTTTCGAAAATTAGATAAGTTTGCCATACTGGAGGATAAAATCATATAATTTCCTCGAAAATGCTATTTGATTTTGATTAAAACTCTGAAAAGTCAAAAGTCAATTTATCATTGCTAATTGAATTAGGAATGAAAAGAACCTTCTAGAAGATTCTAGAAGACTAAAACCATTCCTAATTGCATTAGGAATGATAAATCATATTAGGCCCTCCCCTAGATCATTGGTCCGTACATAAAGCTCAAACCGAGCCCAGTTTGGTAAATTGGCCATAACTTCCTCAATATTCATCGGAATTGGGCTTATAATATATCGTTGGAAAGGTCTTTGCAATTCCCATCCAACTACACTAATATTGGACCCATATCATGGACCAACCAAACTGGATTAGTTGTTTTCTTAAAATAAGTTTTCAAAAATAGAGAGAAGAGAAAAGAAACTTAAAACTTTCCGCAACACTAGACTTTCCACACTTTCGCTTCATTCGATTATGATTTGACGTGAAAGGTACTTATCACTGGGTTTGGTTTCGGGGAGACACAAATGGGTGTCTTCAGAAGCCCATACTTTAACTGAGTTTGGAGAAACGCGAGTTTCGAAAACAAAAGTCAAAGTATCGATAGGGACGGAGAATGATTCAGAACGTTCTGCGATCCTAAATCATTCTTGAAACGCCGATACCTGTAAAACTATCGTTAGTTAAACAGATAAAAGAGTTAAGAAACGCGTATCTTGCACCGTCGAGCACACGTATCTGAAAGTAACTGATTTGCTGTATCCTGTTGTTTTGATGACCTCCTACAAGATAGAGAATGCCATCCCGCTTGAAAACTGCTACGCCTGTAACTGCTTCCAAATTTGGAAGATTGCTTCGCCTGAAACAATCCTCCTCCGCATTGATAATATTCCACATCCAAGGGAATACTACCGAAGATTATTTCTCTCGAAACAATCCTCATCCGCATTGATAATATTCCATGTCCAAGGGAATACTATCGAAGATTATTTCTCTTGAAACAATCCTCATTCGCATTATGACCGACTTCCATGCTTAAGGGAACACGATCGAAGACAACTTCGCCTGAAATTACCTTCAGTTGTTTGTGACAACTCTCCGCAATCTAGGGAACACCATCTTGCTGCTTGTTTTGACGATCTTCCGCAATCTAGGGAACGCCGTCAATCAACGTTGCTACATCTCGAGCCTTTTCTTGAACCATAGTGACAACCTTTCCAATCATAGCAAAAGCCGTCGAAGACCGCCCATCTCGTGCTATCTTCTCAAATCTTTGGTGATGACCTCCACAATCTTAGCGAATTCCGTCGAAGACCGCCCATCTCGTGCTATCTTCTCAAATCTTGGGTGACAACCTCCACAATCTTAGCGAATGTCGTCGAAGACCGCCCTTCTCATGCTATCTTCTCAAATCTCGGGTGACAACTTCCACAATCTTAGCGAACGCTGTCGAAGATAACTTTACTTGAATTCATCCTCAGTTGTTGCGATAATATTCCGAAGAAAATTACCGAAGACCAACACTTGTCGGTCTTTAAAGCTCGCTCGAACTTTGCTTCCGCTATGCCTGTACGTCGGCGCTTTCGTTGCTTTGAACCTATACGTCGGTGCCTTTTCTGCTTTTGAGCCAATGCTTAGGCGCTTTAAGCTAAGTGAGACGATCTTTCATCAGGTCGATCACTTATTTGCTGTCGTGATCAAACCGACTACTTAATCATGTCAAATTGCTTATAGGGGCTAACTGGCGTACCAAGGAACCCGAAATTGTTGTATGAGGTCGAAATCACCTTTCTGAGAGGCTTCGAGCTCTGTCGCTGCTGAGATATCTCTGGCGCCAAGAATTGGAGTAGGGTCCTCCCTATTCTGCTGCACCTGTATTTATTTTTGACTATAGAACTTTGCCAATTTCTTCAATTGTCTTAGGGTTGACCTAAGGTCTAACGTGTTTGACACATTGACTTGATACGACTCAAGGCATAAACTTGACTCTATGTGATTGACTGACTCGAGGTTGACTCGACTGAAGTGACACGTGTGTTAGACTCAAATCAAAGTGATATGACACGACATGACTCAATGTGTACATGACTCGTGTGTGCATTGTATTATGATTGTGCGACTCGAAAACTGCAAAAAACAAAAAATTTCCGTCATTTTTGTGGAGGGTACCGACTTTCTCCCGAAAAAGAAAGAAGTGAAAAAGAATCGAAAGTTTGAAGATGCATGTTGAATGAGCTTAATCAAATGTTGTTTGATACTATCTCTCAAGGTGCAAGGATTAATCCATCCTAGGCTATCTCAATTGTTGACTCCACGATGAAAGTATTTGGGTAACTTAGGCACGGAGGCTAAGTACTTCATACTTCGTGATGCAATGAAAATTATGATTGATGAGTGATGTTGATATGCCAAGGCATGCTTTAACGGTGTATTAAGATTTCATGACAAAGGGTTCCTAAGGGAAGTATATTTGGTCATGTATCTGTGCGCTGTGTGAGAGTGACACTAAAGTTAGGCCGCAAGGGCTAAGTGTGTGGAAAGATATATTGAAAAGAGTCAAATGGTGGCAACTCTTAGGCTAGGTAAGCTAATGATGTAGGGATCAAGCCCCCAAGTCTAGCTCTAAGTGAATAGGGATGAGCATAGGATATCTCTTGATATGATCATGGTGTAAGTGTGTGAATATGAATGCATTTTTATTACGGCCGCACCTCGATGCGAGGTTGCCTACGTATCCATTAGGAATCAGGCCGAACGTAGCTCTAGCCGAACCTCGCATAAGTGTGTGTATACCTCAAAAAGGTCTTTTTAAGGGTTGTAAAGTGGTTAGGCTAAAGGTTTGAAAGAAGAAGGGGATAAAGGCTCAAGACCCTAGATAAGCCCCCAAGGTGTGCAACCTCGCTTTCGAATCTTTATAATTTTATGCTTGAGTTTCTACTCTCTTTTTTTTAGCTCACTTTTATCTTTTTCTTTAGCATCTATTTTATTTTTATAAGTGTGGGCAATCCCAATCATGCGGTCTATCACTCACTTGGAATTCATATTTCTCAGGCACAGTACCGAGCACTCGATAAGAGACGCAATCCGAGACGTGTTCATATCGAAGACATTTTCATATCAAAGACATTGGAACACTTGCCCTTTTGTACACTTTTTTTTTTTTTTTTGCTTTTGCTTATTTTTGCTATTTTAATTTTTTGAATCACTCAAGCCCTTTTTTAGAATTGCATAAGTTGCACACCATCCCATCCCAAGGTTAGGTAGATGTAGGTTGAAAAAAGAAGGGTCTATCGTTAGACGAGGATCAAAGTGGTTTATGAAGAAAGAATGCATAATTGAAAGGTGAAATGAGATATGATGTGGCTACAAGGTG